AAGCATTGTAAGCATTTCTAGATGCAGAGGGTATTATTTCCAAAAATAATTTTTTCCGTCAATAATTTGTTTCTCACATGAAAATCTGTCATTTTCGTTGGCCACTTTTTTTCAGTAATTTATAACCAGAACAGATAGCTCCAGAAATCAATATCTTTAGGTTAAGAGATTGATTAGAATACCGTCCTATTGGAACATGTCTAATTGCATTAATAAAGATCCAACTTTATGAGTCAAAATGTATTTCAAAAAATTTTATAAGGTGAGTAGGTTTTTAGGTTGTCACTTTCCTGTCATCATTAATAACATAAACTATTTACATTTACCTTAGTTATTTCAAGAAATCCTGATTATTTCTGTAGAAAGCAAAAGTCTCAGGCCAAAATGTTAAATTAAAGTAATGTTAAATGCTGTAAGATGGCAAAATTGTCATTATCCTGGCTGTCATTTTCCTGGCTTGTAAATTCCAGGGCAATGACACAGTTATAAGGAAAATTTTTAAACACTATAATGAAAAGAGGGAAAGCAAATATTAACCTAATACCCAGTTTATGAAAGATTGTAATATGATCGCATGTAATTAAAGTTACTTATTTATTAAATGATTGATTTTCATACACAATTTTATTCTGTACATATCAACAATAGAAACATTTTTGATTCTTTCTACAGTGGATCAAAGAATTAATTTAAACAAATCATGGTCCATCTAACGCAAAGGTGTTAGGTTTTTTTTGAAAACACAGATAGCTAAAAATATAAAGGATAAACTAAGAACATCACTGTACAATTTAATTCTGTCATAGTCTTTAAACGCTGCTTTGATGTATAAATTAAGGAATGTAGTAAAGTTGTAAAATGAAATGATTTGAAATATTTTAAATTTAAATAATATTATAAAATAATTTCTGACGTAAATTAGTATAAAATTAATTAAAAAATTCCAAAGATTATCATTTTTATTGTAGAAGTTTTTGAAGTCGTTCATAAAGATATTAAAACGAATAATAAAGTTAACTTTATTATTCGTGCTGGGAAACAGACTACTGATCACTTTAAATGGCCCGGGAAAAAAGACTGTGTCAAAATTTCTTAGAATACCACAAATTCAAAAATTTCTGCTCCTTACCCAATATCTCACAAGCATTTTGCTTCCTTTGCAAGCTTCAAGATTAATGAAATCTTACAATTTTTTTTTGTTTTCTTTGTTTCAACAGTTTCTTTGCAAATTAAAGTGTAGTAAAATTAAAAACTACCTCATTGTGTGTATTTATTATTTTTTGAATTTATTTACATAAAAAGTTAAAATTAACTTTTCAACTTTGTCTTTTTTGAGTTTAAGTTGAGTTACATTCTATTAGCTTTAAATGACTGTTTACTTAACTTCTAAGCTAATATGTCATTTTCCTGGCCTTCTAGTCATTTTCCTAGCATTCAAAATTTGGTGAGTTTATATTTTATTTTTTTTCTTGAGAAAATGTCAATAAACTACACTGCTGTGTGTAAGATACTAATAAATTTAGCTAAATAAATATACAAAAAAAAAATTTAGATTATTTTGAGGACTTTAAATGTGAAGAAATTTTTTGGACCGAAATGTCATGTTCAAAAGAATATGTATATATATATATATATATATATATATACAGGGTGGGTGAGTCCCTCACTCATGAGGTGTTTCCGCTGTCGCTGATTGATGAGAAATGTGGTAATTGCGATTATCAAAGCTGGAAGGATCTTTATGAGACTTTTGTTAACAAGATTGATTTTGTTAACAAGCGTAAAAATGACTTTAAAACCGAAACGAGAGAGGACATTTGGAATTCTATTACAAACAGGGGGAGAAACGGTGAAGTAATAAGTTCTCTNTATATATATATATATAAGGAGTTTTTTAAGAAATATGTGTTCATAATAAAAAATTTAAGCATGCTTAAAAATGATTAGCTTAAAAAACATGTGCAATAAGTTGGAAGTTGAACTGTTCACATAATTGAAACATTGATGCATTCAAAAACGAATACTTGAATCAGAAATTAATTTATAACTGCTAACGAAACGGAAACTTTTATGTACTCAAGGATGAGTACTTAAATTCAGATTCCCATAATTGAAAAGTTTCATGTGCTCAAAAATGAGAACACGCTTCTCATACAAAATATGTATATACAAATATTTTAAGCACACATTATACATATTTTTGAGTACTTAATCTTAAGCACCCTGTTTTAACAGAATAGATATTAAAGATATTTTAGACAGTCTTATACATTCTTCTTCTTCTTGGGCACTACAGCCTATGACAGGCCAAGGGTGTCCCGATAAGTTTTTGCCATCTTGATCTATTCTATGTAGGCCTTCCAGTCAGTTATATACATTAGTTAGGGTCAAAATACATTAACTAATGTATTTTAAAACAGAAGCCTAGAAATATTTACTCAAAGATATTTATTTAAAATTAAATAACTGAAAATGGTTACACTTGGAAGTTTTATTAAAATTAAGCATATTTTTAATAATCATGTGCATTAGTCAACATTAAAATTCATTAACTAGTGTATTTTAAGTGAACAATCTGGAAATATTTCATCAAATTCATTTACTTAAGAATAAATTGCTTAAAATGTTTACATTTAGATCTGTACTAAGAATTATTTTAAGAGTCTTCTGCGTTAGTCAATGTTAGAATCCATTAATTTGTGTATTTTAAATGTGATGCCTAGAAATATTTACACAAATATTTTTTTTAACCATAGCTGGCTAAATATTTTAGATTTAGATCTGTTTTAAATATTAAACATATTTTTGATAATCATTTGTGTTTGCCGACGTTAGAATCTATTAACTAGAGTATTCCAAATTAGAAGCCTAGAAATACCTTTTTAAACATTTTTAGCTAAAAGTAAATAGGTGTAAAATAGTTTCGAAAACATATTTTTTTAAATTGAAAAAAATATATAGAAAAAACAGACACAGAATTTTTGTGTTTATTTTTTTTTTATCTTTTTAAAACACTAAAAAAAATTAGATAAATTTAAGAATAGGTATTTTTTTTTCAAAATAAACTTTAGAAAAAATTATATTTGACGCATTATTGTTACTTACATTAATAAACAATCATAAGTTATTTCATTTTAAAAATTTTTAATTTTAAAAATGTGTATTATTATTATAATTTTACTGCGTAGTACTGATTGAAGATTATGTGAGCATTGTGTATTTGTGGACAATCTAAATCAACTACAAATAATGCATGCAATTCTTAAAACTTGCAAAATTGTGCCCCAATTCCTTTAAAAACAACAATAATAGATATTAAAATAAAGTCATACTTAATCCTTGCGAAATATTATTTAAAAACATAATTTTCCAGGTGGTTCAATTCCCTGCTAGATTCTCTCCCTAATCCTGACGATTATTCAAAATATTCTTGCTTCTTAACGCTTAACTGAGCATTATAATAAAATTAAAAATAAATATTTAAATAATGGACCCTTAAGTTATTTATTATATTTTTACAGATTCTGTTCCACAGATTTAATTCCCTATCACATTGATTTAAAATTTATACAAAAAAATTATTTTCATTTGCTATCGCACCTTAATCCCCAAATTTGTGTTTTAAATACTTATTTAATATTCGATTTCTATAAGAACTTGTAATTTTTTTTCATCAAACACACAATTTAACAATATAGTTTAAAATAAATTCTTAACTTTGCTTCAGAATTTTAAATAAAAATATTTATTCAATATTTAATTTGCATTCTGAAAACAGCTTTACACAAAATTTAGATAAATAATTAAACATAACTTATTTTATACATGAATTATTTTTCTCTAAACTGTTGTGAAACGGCAACTAAATATATCTATCACAAAAGGTTGCGCAATAAGATAATAACATGGAATTTCCATAAAATAATGATATAATGATATATAAAAATATCTTACTTCTTTTATACTGTTAAATATCGCTTAGCAAAAGGTAAATAAAACTTTACTTATCGTTAAAACCTATAATCATTTTAAACCGTAAAAAGCCCTAAGTTATCATCGTTAAGTCGAGGCAATAAAAAAAAAGAATAATAATGCGACAGTAAAAAACAATAATACAGCAATACGAAACAGTTTTAAGCCACTAAGTTTATTGTTATATACATATATCTTACATTCTCCTTACTGATAATAAAAGATGATCCATTCAATAAAAGATGTGTAAAAAGTTACAAAAAATAGCGTTAAGACCTATAATTATTTTAAACCGATAAAAGCCCTAAGTTTTTCTAGTTAATTTATATTCTTGTTCCCATGCGACACGATAAAAAACAATAAGACAACAATAGGAAACACTTGTAAACTATTAAATGTTATGGTAAATAAAGATATCTTACTTATTCCTTACTGATAAATACCATTCAATGAAAAATGAATAAAAATTTGCATATAAATGTCGTAAAAAACCTATAATCATTTTAAGTCAAAAAACCCCTTAAGCTTTCTTCATTATGTATAAACTTATGCCGATGCAACACGATAAAAAATAATAAGGCAACTATAGAAAACAGTTTTAAACCCTTAAAATGTATGTTAAATAAAGAAATCTTACTTGTTCCATACTGATAAATACTATTCAATTAAAGATGACTGCAAACTTACTTTTAAATGTGGATAAAACCTAAAATAATTTTAACCTGATAAAATCCGAAAATTTTCATCGCTAATTAATAACCTTATGCCAATACGACACAATAAGAAACGCAAAAGGACAATAATAAGAAAAGTTTTAGAGTATTATGTTTCATGTTATATAAAGATATCTTACTTGTTCCATACTGATAAATACTATTCAATAAAAGATGACGGCAAACTTACTTGTAAATATGGATAAAACCTAAAATTACTTTATCCTGATAAAATCCGGAAATTTTCACCGCTAATTAATAACCTTATGCCAATACGACACAATAAGAAACGCAAAAAGACAATAATAAGAAAAGTTTTAGACTATTATGTTTCATGTTATATAAAGATATCTTACTTCTTCCATACTGATAAATACTATTCAATAAAAGATGACGGCAAACTTACTTGTAAATATGGATAAAACCTAAAATTACTTTATCCTGATAAAATCCGGAAATTTTCACCGCTAATTAATAACCTTATGCCAATACGACACAATAAGAAACGCAAAAGGACAATAATAAGAAAAGTTTTAGAGTATTATGTTTCATGTTATATAAAGATATCTTACTTGTTCCATACTGATAAATACTATTCAATAAAAGATGACGGCAAACTTACTTGTAAATATGGATAAAACCTAAAATTACTTTATCCTGATAAAATCCGGAAATTTTCATCGCTAATTAATAACCTTATGCCAATACGACACAATAAGAAACGCAAAAGGACAATAATAAGAAAAAGTTTTAGACTATTCTATTTCATGTTATATAAAGATATCTTACTTGTTCCATACTGATAAATTCTATTCAATAAAAGATGAATAAAAATTTACTTATAAATATCATTTAAACTAATAATATTTTTAAGCAGATAGTACCCCGAAATTTTTCAGCCTTAATTAGTAATCGTATGCATTACGACATAAAAAGACAACAATAAGAAACAGTTTTAAACCATTATACTTTATGTTATATAAAAATATCTTACTTTCCTTATACTGATAAATAGAGTTCAATGAAATATAAATAAAAATTTACTTTTAAATATTTTTAAAGCCTTTAATAATTTTAAGCTGATAAAAAACACCCAAATTTTCATCGTTAATTAATAATCTTATACTGATACGATACAGTAAGAATCACAATAAGACAATAATAATAAAAAATCTCAGACCATTCATTATAATTTATAATGTATAAAGATAACTTACTTGTTCCGAAGAAGATGAGAAAGATGAGGAAGATAAAGACATTGGTTGCAGGGAGTCGGATTCGGAGCTATCTGAATTTAGCATTTTTCGTCCGGGAGATCCTTTAACGATTATTCTTAACCTGTGGTTATTGGCTGTGCTCTTTGGTTAAGGGTGAGCAAATGTCAGAAGAGAAATCACGTGCAGCCTCCGGGAGACACTCTCATTGGATGAATTCGAGCAATTCCAATAACTATCTTGCACCCAAATGCATAGTTCATTGGCTATTCTCAACTAAGTTCACACCGGTCGGGTTACGTAACTGACACTTGTTACATAACCTGTATCAGCACTTCAGTGCGCAAGTACTTATTTTGTACATTCCATTAAAGCATTCCATTAAAAATTTTGAAGCTGGTCTATCGATAAAAAAAACTACATAGATAATTGGTCTGCTGAGATAATTGGTCTGCTGAGATAATTGAATCAGTTGGGGTAAAATGGTTTCAACGAGAGGAAAAAAAGATTAGATGAAGAAAAATAATTATAATAATTATAATAATTATAATAATTATAATAATTATAATTATTATAATAATTATATTATTATAATAATTATATTATTATAATAATTATAATAATTAAAATAACTATAATAAAATAATTATCGATTTAGATGAAGAAAAATAATTATAATTTATTCATTACAAGACATCGGGGTGCTCATCAAGGCCGTAGCCAGGATATTTTTTTTTGGGGGGGGGATATGGTAAGAAGCAAGGACAGTTTCAAACATGCAAAGTAGGGGAAAAACATAGTAACAAATATTGTTTATTCTCTTGTTTGCAAAAGTTAAACTAGTAATTAAAAAAAATTACATGATACTTATTTTTCAATTAATATTACATAATTATAATCAATTTGTAAACAAAGTTTACAAAGACATGCGACGGGAATTTGAAGAAAATTTTTCGATTCCTTTTTTTAGGACAAACCAGAATATTCCGAAATATGCTTAATAAAGTTAGTTAATAAAAGGTTTGATTCGACAGTTTTTGTTTTTCTTTTTACTGAGAGGCTTAAAGAAAGACTAAAATGTTTGAACACCAGAATTTCGGGGGGAGGGATTTGTCCCGACGCCCCCCCCCCTGGCTACAGGCCTGGTGTTCATCGGTTATAAGGACCATAAAGCTAAGTTCACCGACACGAAAGAACAGTACCAGAATCTGGTTGACATAGGTGATTGTCTACCAATAAGACACATGGTTGTAATCAATATGGCAATATTGCGGTCATTAATGATAGTAATATATACAGCGAATACAATAAAATGGTGATCATTATTGAAAGCATAATATATCAGAAAGATAATATTGTAATTATCACACATAGTGATGATTATTAAATACGATATAATTGTGAGTTTAGAATTTTTTTTATTTGGGTTAAAAAAATGGTGACCAATGTAAATTAATTAAATTGCAAAATTATTGCAATATGTTATTAAATATCCATATTTTTGCCAATTCTTGAGCTATATTAAAATTTGTTCAGTGTTCGTGTTGGCAACAATTCGGAAAAGCGGCAGCTAATCCTTGGTCCCTATAAGCAAGGAATACAAATATTGGTATTAAAGTGAAAAATCACTCACACGTTTTTAGATGCAAGGTATACACACTTACTCTTCCCCTTATTTTCGGTTTTTGGGCCAGAATAACCCACAAAGACCACAATTATAATAATTAATGGTAATTTTTAGGATTTCTTCTGCTTTTAGTTTTAAAAAAATCTCACCGACAAAGGCTGGTTTTAAAATTGAGAGCAAGAATTGCTTAAAAATTAACGTCTCATTTTGATCGCTTGGAAAATTGAATATTTTGGGAAATTTGAATATTTTCCACACTATTGTCTAATGAGCTGGCTTACAATGCTTTATTTTCGAAACTATCAGCAAATAATTAAAATCTTCTATACTGATTACTCAGCCTCCATGCGCAGATATCAAATGAATTTAAAAATAACCGGTACAAAGCATACTTCCTTTCTATTTTATCTATTCAAAAATCACGTTGTCGCACAAGTACATTTTTTATCAAATTATTATTTTTTTCAGAAAAAAAAAATCCTCTTTAATTACCACAAAATGTTTCTTTTTTCTGGATAGTCAAATGGTTTACTATGTAGTGTTATGCACACCCGTGTTAATCTAGAAATATCGCTGTGTTCTACAGATTTTGGTACTGACGGACTGCCGGCCTGGACTCGGTGCTTTCTACTCAATTAGCAGATCAGCGATTAAATTTCAAAGTGGCCGGATTATGCTTTTGGTCGAAAATGACTTTACTACGTGTGGGAAGAGAAATGGTATGCATCGGCTGTCGTTTACTTGAATTTGACTACAGATATCGTTTTTATGTGTGCTCTGCAATTATTTCATTCTTTTAAATGCTTACGTAATATCAGTTAACTTTGATTTCAATGACTTTGAATCTAATAGAAATTATAACAAATTGCAAATAGTGTTTTTATTTTGAATGATTTCAATAATTAAGAGAAATATTTATTTAGTCGTACGCATTATGCATTTTAACATTTGCAACAGATGCAAAAAAAGAAGTCTACAGTCACAGTATTTATATTTATTACCTATCAAGTCTTATAAATACTAAATCCCAGTAGTACTGTTACTATTTTTTTTTTTTTTTTGCAATCAGCGCCTGTCTAAAATTCAATAAATTACATAATTGTTTTCTATTAAACAGCCATTTCTTTTGTTAAAAAAATACTTTTTTTTAAAATATTAGGCTAAAAAAACACATTTGGAAATTAATGTAGTTATATATCTTGAGACTGTAATAAAATCCATAATAAATTATTAAACAGAAATAAAGAAAATCAAAAACTATCTTGTTTAAAGGCAAAATTATCAGCAATTTTCCAAAATCACGTCAACTTCAGCCGATATATAACGTCTCCTTTCCCCACAAGTAGTGATGTCATTTTCGACCAATAGTGTGATCCGACGATCTGATTTAATCGCTCTTTTAGCAGGGTTTAGCAGCAGGGCTAAAGAGAATCGAAGTGCTAGTTCACTCTTTTGAAGAAACTCTCACCGCGCCAAACCTCCGATTTTCGCCTGTGACGTCACGATGGCGCAAAGCTTGAGCTTTTACTTCAAGAACGAAGTGTTCGGTCTAACCAGCTTTAACTAATAATGGAGCATTCCTTATTGTGACATATTCTAAGACATTCTTTGTTTCCTATAATGATTTTCCTCAGTTTTGTGAAGTGAATTACAAAAATTTAAAATTATTTATTAAATGCCAGTTTGTTCGATTGCAACTAACAAAAATTCTGATTGAAACACAAAAAGGAACAATTGTAAAATTTCTAATATTTTTAAGAACCTAAATTATTATTTTGTTAGAATAATTAGCGCTTAAGGTTGTTGTTTCCTAATGATTAAGTATAAACAAATTGCCATTAGCAGCATATTTTAAAATCAAGATTCTAAATTTAACCCAACTGTACATGTAGCTAAAAAAGTGTCGATATATACATTAAATATTTTTCAATAATAAAAGTTAAAACTGAAAATTTTAAAATAAAGTATTTATAGCGTCATTTACGACAACTAGTAAAATATTTTTATTAGTTTAAAATGGTATTTAATTTAATGCCTTGGCCAAGAAAGTTAAAACTGAAAATTTTGAAATAAAGTATTCACGACAACTAGTAAAATATTTTTATTAGTTTAAAATGGTATTTAATTTAATGCTTTGGCCAAAAAAATGTTTTTATTCTATGTTTTTGAAAGGAAATAATATGTTAATTGCATAAAGTTTGAAAGCTAATATCAAGAAAAAGTCGAACTTATTTTTACAGAGAAAATGATACAAAGTTTTCATAATACCTTTGCTTGCCATCTCCTAGATTTGTGTACAGCGTGACGACATGAGGAGGGAAATCAGTTCTAAGAGTGGAAAGAACTAGCCCTTCTTTCTTCTCTTTAGCCCGGGTTTAGCAGTGCCTTGAAGTGCTCTTCGGTTATGCTAACAGCTTGATGCCATTACTGGAACCTCAGGCATACTAAGCTTGAGCTTATCAGTTACTCCGTTATCTTTTCAGATTACTTCATAGTGGCCATAATTCTATGTCAGATACTTTTTCAATTAGAGTGTTACGAATCTAAGTTACGAATTATTACTTTTCTGTTTAGAGTGTTTTGAGGTGTAGACGCTAGTCAGCTTAGCTTAGAATACAACTTGTTAATTATTCTCCTTAAAAAAATTATTTTAATAATCTGTGAACCATTTTACAGTTATTTTATACTAAAAAATTGGATTGTGTACTTTATTTACTATTTAGTCATATACTGACTTATCACTGAATTCGAATGAATTGTATTTTTAAAAAAATTCAGTTTGATATCAGGTTAAGGTAAAATATTACAAACTTTACAACCTTTATGGTAAGCAATAAAATGCAATTGATGTAATTAATGCTAGATATTTTTAATAGATGTGTTCTACATCATATACTTTCAAAGTGGAGAGGTTACTATAATCAGCTAGACATCTTGGAGGATATTATAATTTTACCTTATCATATTTTTCTTTCTAAATACGTTTATGATGGTCGCTGGTATTGGAGATTTTTTTTTAATGTTTTCAAAGAATGTTAGTGAATTAAAATAATTTAATATATACTTCTCGTGTGAGACCGAAATGTCAGTGTCATAAGTTCGCCGTTTGGGATTTGCCTCACAGTCTGGGTCTGGATTAAGTTATCCATAGCGCAACTTAAATATTGCTAAATAATAAAAAAGTTTAAAACGCAAAATGACTTAATATTCTACTTTTTTAAACTTAAGTGGTACTAAAGCTATTTTTTTCAATTAAATTAATAAGTAATTTAACTATTTTTATAGTGTTTTACTACTTCAGCACCACCTGCAAAAAATAGATAATAGTAATACAGGATATTTTCCTAATAATAATACAGGATACAGTAATACAATAGTAATACAATCATAATAGTAATACAGGATATTTTACTTAGTTTTAAATGTTAGGAAAATTCAACTTTAGGAGTGACATCAAGGGAAGGGGTAAAATGTATGTTCAACGATCGTAATAAATTGATTTAATGTTCAATTTATTATGTCTGAACAATTAATAATCCTAAGTAATAAGCATGTTTGTTTAATACTAAATCGTACACATTTTTTTCTGTTAGAATTCAAACCTAAAGTTTATAATAATGTAATGTTAAATGTGTATATTTGTGAGAAATGTATTGTAAGAGAAAAATAATCCCGTGCTGCTCGGGTAAAATAAAAACACATTGTTCAGGTAGGGATCTATGTGAAAAGCACGTGGTTTCGTTTTATAAATACTTGCAATATTAATAATTTATTATTAGCGATTTTCTAGCAAAGTTATATAGT